CGGAGGCCCAAAAGTAGTGTTCTCTTTCCAGGAAGAGGAACAATGACGTTCCGGAGGAATGAGGCTGGAAGCGTTTTCGACCGAAGGGGCGCAACTGTCTAGGCACCCCACAAGGGCCGCCACTGATCTGCACCAAAGACACTGCAGAAGTTTCGGCTACCGGATGTCCCTGGAGCAGTAGAACGACTCGGGGTTCTTGAAGGAGGCGCTCCTGCCGGGTCGTTTTGTAGGCAGGAGCCATTTCGCTGATGTGGCAGCTGCTTTACAAGTGCTGACAGTAGTAGCTGAGGCTGTGAGCGCGGCGTCGGCCACCTCGACTTGAGGCGCAGTGGTAGTCGTCGGTGCCTCGGCTTGGGCGACATGGCGGCTGCGAGGGATGGGCCTTCCGCCATAGGACTCTTAGGGCCTTGTCACTGCGCGGAGGCCTGCTCAGGGGCTAGTCACGATGGCCTGCCGTCGTGATGGATGGCGCAATGCTCCTTGCCGCATCCTCGGACAGCGCACAAATGGGCAAACTTGCAATTCGGCAATGTGCAGGGCGTTTCGCTGGTATCTCCTGCATAGGACTTTGCCGTGGGCTTTCACAACCCAATTGGCTGGCCAATCCTCCGTCCTTGGCGATTTGCCATTGCCTTTGCCGCCTCGGCCTTTGCCTTTAGGGTTCTTCGGCGGGGTAAAGGGCTGACCTCGGGTCCTTTTGCTAGGCGGCGGGGTAGGGGTGTTGGGTCTCTCCCCTCTTTTAGGCGGTGCGGGAGGCAGGTCAAGCTTAGGTCGCGGCTCAAGCATGTTGCTAAGGTCGCTCCTGATGGAGGTGCATAGCATGCCTCGTCCAGGCTCCAACCGCTGGCCGCTAGGTTGGCTATGATCCCCCAAATCTTTCTATCTGCTGCCAGGAGCTCCTGGGTCGTCGGGCCTCGGACACTCGGGTCGGACAGGTCAGGCAAGGCTAGGTCCAAGACCCTTTTGTCGAAGGCTTTGAGGTTATTTAGATGTGCTGCCCACGCGTTACGGAAGACCGTCTGTATGCGGGATAGCCATGATGCTGATAGGCGAAGATGGGCGACCGCCATCCCAGGTGTGTCGTCGTACAAGGCTGAGGCCAGCAGGTGCGCCTCAGCGCGCATAAGCTTGGCTGATTTGGCTTCCATAATTTCCTGATATTGCTTGGAGCTTAGGCGGAATTGCCACGGGATCCATCTGATCTTCTCTCCCGGCTTGAGGCTGTGTTGGACTAGGCTCAATAGGCGGATGCTGGGCATTGTGTCGTCATCCAGGAGTTCGCCGGGGTAGTTCAGCTTGAAGTCACTGACCAGATCCTGGACGGCTTCTGAGCTGAGCTTCGGAGGGGGATTTTCCATCCAAGACGTCGGAGAGGCTTGCGGGAGCAGCGCCGAAAGAAGGCTCGAGTTAAGCTCCGGAGCTGGAGGTGGCTGTAGGCTTTGCTGTGACAAACCATGCGCCAAGCGCAGGGCCCGGCAAAGCTTGGCCGCGTGTACTCCGTGTAGAGGGTCGGCCGTGCCCATCTCTCCCAAGTCTGCCTCCGACAAGGAGGACAGGAGGCTGTCCAGGCTTGCCAGGTCCGGATAGGCAAAGGCTAAGTCTTCAATCAACTCTAGCCCTTTGAGGGCGAGTGATTGGGCCAAGACTTCATGAACACCCTGATCTTTGAGGAACTTGGGGAGCTCAGAGGCTGGTGGAGTCGCCATGGCTGTTTAAAAGTTGCGGGAGCTGACTTGATATCAAAACAGCTGCGGACAGGCGGTTGGCTGCTTGAGAGGGCTGCGGATGCTAGCTGGCCGGCATGAGAGGCCTTGTCACGGCCAAGAGTCCAGTAGCTTCGGGTCCGACGGGCTGAAGGCGGCGGCAATGCGCGGCGCTCCGCATGCGGCTCTATCTGCCGAGTCTAAGCAGGCGTGCACGGAGCCCCACGGCCCATTGCGGAAGAGGCTGAATGCAACTTGCGTCTGGTCCGGCTTGACGGCTACTTGTTCCGAATCTGAAGATGAGTCGTTCTCCGCGGCGAATTGAGCTACCAGCAGGGCCTCATGGTCGTCGTCAGGGATGTCGTCGGTGGCTGAAGAGGCCGCGGATGGGCCCACGGGATAAACTTCAGGGTCCTCCATAGGCTCCGATGGGGCTATCTTTTGCAACTCCGCTTCTCTGGCATAGATGAATCGCGAGAGGCCTGAAATTTCCAGGGGGGTGTCGACTTAGGGACCTGAAGGAGAGGCTCTATAGCTGGCCACCTCTGGCAATAGGCCGGGTAGGTCTCACCGTGTCTCACCCCTCGGAGCATGCCTGGCGGATCTGAGCTTGCAGGTCTAATGCCAATAGCGTATCGTCTCTGCTGTATAATTGGACGCTTGGGCTTTTGTGGTGTCCTTGAGCCGGCGCATGGAGGTCATTGCCAGTTGCTCGCTTGCAATTGTGGCATGGGTCCCAGCTAAGCATCGATATACCACCATTGTGTCCCCTTCTTCACGCGGTGAGGCCAAGCCGACACCCCCGCTGACGCACTGTCAGCCTGTGCAGTCCGTGCAGTGGCACAGCTCAGGTGAAACAACGCGTAACCGGAGCTTGGCCATGCCCGGAGCCTCGCGAAGAGCGTGCGGTCCCTGTGCAGCATGCTATGTACCGGCGAGTGGGCTGCGGCTTGCGTGCATTTCACCGTGCGGGGATGCGACTGGCAGTGCCCGGCTGTCTAGCCGGTGCTTGGCGAGCACGTCGCCGAGGTCGGGGACAGGGCCATGGACGTTGGCGGTGCCACAGGGGGAAGGGGCGACACAGCGAGGCTACAAACAAGCATGTCTCCATCAAGCTTCGTATGATGGATTGGGTTTCTTGTCCTTGCTGCCGTCGTGATGCCCATGCCGCTTGGATTGCACACGTCGGCGCTTCAAACGTTTTTTTTCCGGCTGCCAGCCTACAAGGCCTGGGCCAAACAAGTTCGGGACGCTGTTGCGATCACAGTTTCCCGGCTCCGGCTGACATTACGGCACACTGCCTCGCCGTGTTTCGGCCAACGACTCGCATGCTGGCTCGAGGCTTGCCGAGCTTGAGAGCCACTGCGGGCGCATGCGGGCCCGGTGATCGCCGAGAGCACCCGCGCCGGCTGCCAACAGGCGGCGCAACCGTCGGCACAGCGCCTAGGGCGATGAGCAATTCGATTGATTTGGGTGTGCTGGCAGCTTTACGTGGACCAGCTCAGAGCCAGGAACCAGCGTGGGTGCGCGACTCTGTGGCGCAGCAGTACCCGGGCATCGGCAGGGAGCAGGAACTTGTAGAAGGTCCCATGATATCCGTGATCGAACTCGATGATGTGAAGCAAGGGCGGGCAAATGACGTCCCATATTGCGGTTTCCGGATTGATCACAAGCGATATCCCCGAAACATGAACTGTCCGCGTCATTGTGACGGTGTTGGCCTACTATTGCGAAATGCAGCATTCACATGCCGGAGTGCGGCATGGCAGATGGACAACGAGTTTTTCTGCGTGCGCGGTTTAGTGCCGGCGCAAGCCCACAGCCGCGCCAAGGAAGACGCAAGCTTGCCCACGGCGGCAACACGCTTTACAGGAGGAGCGCCGCACGAAGCGGCGGAGAAGGGTCACTGTCCAGCAGACTGTGGGTTCCACCCCTTTCGCTCCTGCCAGGCCCTCCAAACCAACGTCGGTGATGTCCGGACCACGCAAGTCCGTTGACCGCGTCTACTGCAACGTTTCATCAGAACAATTTTCGGATTCTAGACGCTGGTGCGTTGGACACCGAGTTCTCACGCGGTTCCGCTTGGAAAGTGCCAGCTGCTCGAGATGAAGGGCGGGACGGCGCTTGGTTCGACTGCACTGGTGCCGTAGAACGGGTTCAACAAGCTCGGGCTTGCAATCACACTCTGTTTACTCATTTGTTAAGCGATAAGCAATGCAAGGATCACACTGATTGTCGTGTTCGGCCTCAACCGGCCTCCCTATGTAGTAAAGGAACAACAACCATGAGATTTCGATGGGTTTTTTGGGAGAACAGAAAAGCTCCTTTTTCGGGGATGTTGCTGACCTTGTAAACCCTTGCGAACCATGCAAGATGCAACGTCATTGGTTTGTACGAGCATTGTCGGTTGTATACATGCTCACACAACACAATGGCCTGAAGAGGCGAACGATGATAATTATTGTTGCCATATTTCATGCAGCAAAACTTGTTATATACGAGGTCACGTGTTCGATTGGCATGCTTCCGAACACTGCCGCTAAATATAATTCTGAACGGACACTGGCTCCCAATCAGATCCTACCATGGCGCAATTCGCAATGAACACTGTTTCCACCACCGACCACGGAGGCAACAGCCTGGGCAAGCTGAGAACATTCAGTTCGTCGGCGGAGCGGAGAATGGAATGCCACACATCGACGCGCAGCGAAATCAAACGTCGGCGGCGCTTGACCAACAACCAGGTTCGATGCCGATGGCGCCCGTGTGCCACAGAAAACTACCCTAGGTCAGCAAGCGAGCATTGATGCCTTCAGGCGCATAGTAGTATTCGATGCTTCAGACAACAACGACTAATACACAGGCCGCCCGAAAAACTTATTTTGCAATCAAGTGTCACATGCATTCAGGTACACGAAACAGACACACACACACAGAGGGAAACACACATTCCCACACAGTCGAACACACGTCACACACACACACACACGCGAACAAATTGCACACGACGATGCCGGGCTCCTGGATGTCAGGAACATTCAGACCCCAATGCCAAGATGGAGCAGCCATGTGATTCAATCATGCTCTCACGCTGTTACCACGCCTGCAGAACAATTTGTGTTACGAATGTACAGATCAATTTGGTGACGGAGGTGTTCTGATGTCTTTGTCATGCCTGTGCAATGCATTGACAACGACATCGCAAAATTGCATCGTGGTACTGCGGTAGCGGCAAAACAAATATGCCTGATTTCCAAGTATATCGTGTACGAACGAACCAAAGTCTCAGCAGCGAACCCATGACCAGGCAAGTCGGCGGCCACTATTCGATGTCCGCTTTCACGGAGCACGGACCACACCATGGACCACGTTTCCTGAAACAGTTGGGGATGTTGCTAGACATCCGGGCGCCGAAACCGCCTTCACCACGAACACCTGCAAAGCAAGCGCATGTGCCGACGGGGCACGATCCTCAACCTCCGCATATATTGCTGTGAAGTGCAACAAGCCTTTGTGTCAACGATTTTAAGGGCAGAGCCGCGCATCATGCATGAGCACTGCCGTTTTGCCAGACCAGCTCGGTGGCGTGGCCATTGCACTTATTTTTCGCCTGCGCTTTGTGAGGAATGCACTGCCATGTAGTGTCGATTGCTTTCCCCAGCAGCGAACAACACTGTGTTTTGTTGTAAGCATGGTGCTCTGCAGCCGGCGTTGCTTGCAAGGTGTACCTACATTTCAATCAGACGGCATCACAACAACGCATTTCGCAAGTCTCTCAAGAGCCTGGTGGCATCCAGCAGTGGTGCTGCCAGCTCCTCTTCGACAGTGCAGCTCGCATGCACTGTCAACTACAAAACGCTCCTCGTAAGACGCCCCTTCAAATTTGTCCACAATCTTCCGGTGAGATCGCCACAGGTGCACGTACCTGTACAAGAACAAATCAAAATTGCCAGGTATCTGCTCGGCACTGAGTAGCGTGCAGAGCAATGCAGACTCCGAACCAGCTCCGTCGTGGAAGCATGTCGGCTGGATGAACACGCTGCAAATAATTTGCATACTGGGTGTACACTATTGTACGGGATCTGGCATGCATACTACGAATATGTGGGAGATGCACGGACTGAAGATGGGCTGCATATGCGCCAACGCACACTTTACTCTCGTCCCGAAAATGGCATGTACTGACCACAAACACAAACACGTTCGTTGCATCCATGCTTCTGAAGGGGAACCGAAACTTTCGCCAAGTGCTGTTCACCCGTTCGTTTGAGCACCGGTGACACCAGCGCACATCGGTTCGTTTGACAGTTGCAGATGCCTGAGTTCTCAGTTTTCCATGAGAATTTGATGTCGAGCGAAACGAACCGAAACACCAATACCAACAACTCAGCAATAACTGCAAACACAAGCTTGGCAAAAACTTGAAAAAACTGTAAGATGAGCGAAAAAACCCAAAGACGGGGGCCACTTAGGACTTCGGAACACCGCTCTGCGTTTAAATGTGATCCAAGGCATCGGCCGCATATCGGATGTGGAACTTCTACCGGCACGTCAACTCATTTCCAAAACTGTATAACTTATTGATTTCATTCAGGTTGGAAGTTGGCAATACACACACACACACAACACACACGCATACAACACACACAACACACACAACACACACAACACACACACACACACACACAGACACACACAACACACGCAACACACACACACACAGAGACACACACACACACACACAACACACGCAACACACGCACAGACACACACAAGACACGCAACACACGCCCCCACACGCACAGCACATACACACACACAACCCACACAACTCAGACAACGCAGACAACACACACACACACACAAACACAACAAAACACACACACACACACCGCACACTCGCAGGTTTTGAGTCCTGAGTAACCGGTATTCTGAATCTCCGGACAAGTCAAACTCAAACCCTCGGCTTGCCAGGGTCGTTTGCCAGGTATAGCTGTCTCAGAAACTGCAAACGACAATGGCAGGTACACACTTGAGCCGTCGAGTCGAGATCTTTTAAGAGGTTTGGTTTGGCAAGATCATCGAGGCCTGTTGAGGCCTACGGGAATTAAGTCTGAAAATAAAGTTTGCAACAACAATAGTTATAGCTTACAAAGTCTTTTTGTGCCTATCGAAGCTTTTCTCGAGGTGCGTCGTGGCTTCTTGAATTTTGAGTATAGAATACAAGGGACCTGGAGCATGGCTTGAAAATCATGTGTTGAAGAAGACAGGCAACGTCAGGCTTCACCCGGACTCGAGGCTTCCTAGGACTCCTGAGTGAGGCCTCGGGAGGCCTCGAAACTTGGAAACCCCAGGTCTGGCCCACTCTTGGCCGTAACAATCGTGCTGCCGGGTCTTTGTGGGCTTTTCTGGCCCACTCTGGGTCATAACAAATCGTACTGCCGGGTCTTGGTGTCTTTCTGGCCCACTCTTGGCCGTAACAAATCGTACTGCCGGGTCTTAGTGGCTTTTTCTGTCCCACTCTTGGTGTTAACAAATCGTACTGCCTCTGAATTCTGGTTCTTTCTGCCCACTTTTGGCTGTTAAAAAATCGTACTGCCGGGTCTTAGTTGCCTTCCTGGCACACTCTTGGCCGTCATGGAGCAGAATTTTCTTCAGGACTCTATGGAAGGCCAGCGTCCCCAACGACAGTTAAGGACGCGTTGTATTGTTTTCTTGGAACTCTTTAAAGTAATATAAAGCCCGAGGCTCGGAATCTTGGAAGTTAGAGCGGATTTACTTCGAGACCTCGGGAAGCTTTTTGATGTTGCGTACATGCTGCCATGGATCGCACCATTTTGGCAGGTTTTGCGGCCAAAGTACGAATGACCTGCTGAACCGACAATACATTGATTGACACAATCTAAAACACTCCTTTTGCTAGAATCGTTAAAAAACTAAGAATGCCTACAATAGTTACTACGTCGCACCGGTGACCTTCCAACTCCCTGACCGACTGCGGTTTAGAGTTCTTTTTTTTGACAAATCTTTTCCACCTACCTGGTTAGTTTGGTCGATGCACTTTGGGTGAGGCTGTTGCTTGCTGCTACGATTTCCACACATCAGCCACACAAAAACCCCTTGTCAATGGAACATCCTACCGCATTCCTATCGGAGCAAACTCAACAATAGGCAACATGCACACTGCATGTTCTCAACAGCCACATCTCAGAACTTACTACACACAGCAAGTACCACGACACAATGCTCGACCGGGGCTGGGCCCCGGACCTTCGACGAAGGGGGGGCTT